CATCTCCAGTCTGTCTTACTCTGAAGTCACACTCTTAACCTTCATGCCATATCCCCTCCCACAAATATTAGGCTGTGTTCAACTTAAGTCTTAGGTCTTTTTTTTTTTTTCTTCTTCTCATGTGATTTTAATATGTTGAGTCTCTTCAAGACTGGTCTTTTGCAGCTGAGTTTTAGAATGGGACCTGGTATTGTATTCCTATGCAATTTGATCATACCAGATGTAATCTGGCACATTCTCTCTCTTATTCTGCTTCAACTCATCAGCAAATGTAATTGGTAAATTATGATTAAGAAGGAGTGCAAACTGGGCATGGTGGTGCACGTCTATCATCCCAGCAGCTCAGGAGGCTGAGGCAGGGGGATCATGAGTTCAAAGCCAGCCTCAGCAATGGTGAGGCACTAAGCAAATCAGTGAGACTCTGTCTCTAAATAAAATACAAAATAGGGTTGGGGATGTAGCTCAGTAGTTGAGTGTCCCCGAGTTCAATCCCCAGTACCCCCTCCACCCCAAAAAAGAAGGAGTACAGAAACAGAGCCATTAGATTATTCAAGGTGCTTTTGTATCAAGTAATCATTCCCCACTAAGGGGAATGTTCAACCTGTTACCAACTCACAAAACTGAATTGACAGCCAACCACCATTACTTCATCTTGCTGATAACCATTTCTTGAAATATCACATGGTCGTCATAGTCAATGTCTACAGATAAGATCTAGTCCAAGAAAGGTTGTCCCAGAAAGAATTAGGCATTGAAGGCTGAAACTGGTATGAAGAAATAGGAAAACAGGTCGAGCTCCCCCAATCTGAAAATCCAAAACCCAAAATGCTCCAGAATCGGACATATTATGAGCATGAATGTGTTACCACCAGCGGAAAATTCCGCCTTTGACCTCATGTGATAGGATGCAGTCAAGATGGTGTTGCACTGACAATATTGTATGACATTTCCTTCAGTCTATGTGCATGAGGGTGTACATGAAACAAATGAATTTCACGTTTAGATTTGGGTCCCATCCCAAGAAGTATTGTAAAACCTGAAAAAAAAAACTGAAACACTTCTGGTCTCAAGTATTTTGGAGAAGAGATTCTCTATCTGTTCAGAGTCCAAAGTATTTACATTTTTTTAAGGGAAAAAAAATCTCATCTTTACTTTCAGAAGATATTTATGTTGAGGAAATATGGGAAGAGCAGAAGAAAGAGGTGTCCAACAGCTTTCGCTGGAATCCACACTGATCTATACCTATCTTCACCCCAACTCCAACACCACACAGGAACAAAGACTCCAAGGGAGAGCGAGGTATTCCCATGTAACTCTGTGGCTGGCCAGCCTCCTCCTCTTGCCTTTCTTACCTGCTGGAGCAAGGTGTGACTCTTCCTTCTGCTTTGGTACCTCTATGAACACTGAGGAAAGGCCAAACATGGGAATTTCAAATGCTTTTGTTTTATTGGAGACTCTGACCTCTCAGACTGCAAGTCTACTTAATGTTAATCCATTCATCAGTCTCATTTCCAAGTCCCACAGAGGGGTGACTTGCGCCTGTGGGAAGAAAAACCTCTGCTTCAAATATAAACAGAGGAGAGCTGGACATGCCAGCCACCCTGGCCTGATGTTCTCAGGTTCTCCTCGGACCCTGCTGTGAGGACCCCACAGAGGCAGCAGGGCATTCTGGGTAATGGAATGCAAATGGATGCACTGACCCCTGCGGGCCTCCCCAGGGCATCTTGATTCCTGCCTCTGTGAGAGCCAGGCCCCGCAGCTTTTAAATTGAGGGGAAGAAGGTGGAGAGAAGGGTGGAGGCTTCCTTCTAGGCCAACCACAACTAACTCTTTCGTTCTGTCCAGCAAACCCCAGACAGTGCAATTATCTGGTTAATTTGGCCCTTGGTTGAGAGACAAGCTCCCGAAATTCAAGGCCAGCTTAGACTAAATAGTGGCTTCAGTCCTAAACCTTTTCCCGAATGCTAGAGGATGCCTGTGAGATTCCTGAGAGGTCACTTACGTGACCCACCCATTGATCCAGATGGGCAAAGAGAAGAGACTCAGGCTCCAAGATGGGCTTGGGAAAATATATCTTCCAGAGGAAAAATGACCAAATGACCTGCTAATTTGTTTCCTGGCTGATTTACCTTCTGGCTTCCATGGAGAGGCATGGCCGGAAATGAGGATGACTCAATTAGCCAAGGTTTCCCAGCATGATTTTAGCCCTCATAGACCAGCTGTGCGTCTGTCCCCAGGGCCCCTGGGTGAGTTATTCTCATGACAATCCCCTCTGATGCCCCTGCTTAAAGATTTTCTACCTACAAGTTGGGCCAAAGGCAGCGCTGAGACGAAAGGGAGATATTAAGACACCCACCTGGGGTTGCCACAAGGGGATGAGACAGGGCCAGCTCAGCTGGCGACTGAGCATGTACCAGATGGTTTACGGAAACCTCAGATTTTTGAGGGAAGATTAAGGCGCGGTGATTTATCGCTTTTGGAAACCGAGGAGCAGCCTGGAATCTGTGGAATCTATCAGTTATTCATTCTGCAAGTATTTCCCTTAACTCTCATCTGTGCCAGGCCCTGTGCCACTCACAGAGTGGGATCCAGACAGCCAAGCTCCCTAGCCTCATGCAAACGATCCACCCTGGACACTTAGTACAAAACTCAGGTAAGAGCCAGGAAGGAAAAGCTGAGGTGTTATGCAAAGGAGTCACCAGGCTACCTGATTTAGACAGGGATGGGAAAAGGAGTCTTTGGGCAAAGGACTTTAACACTTAGAGAACAATTTTTTTTTTTTTTTTTTTTTTAGAAAGGTCACTCTAGCCTTTGTATGAAAAATAACTCAGAGATGGGTGGAAAGTGGATTTATGAGGCTGTGGATTAAGAAGCTCAGATGAGTGTGTGGGGACGCAGCTCAGGGGCAGAGTGCTTGCCTAGCATGGGCAAGGCCCTGGGTGGAGGCGGGGAGATGCTCTAGGGAATGATGGATGCACAGTCAGCAGGCTCTGGCGAGTGAAAGGGTGTAGAGGTGGAGGAAGAGGGGGGCACCCAGGAGACTGTGCAGGTTTCTGGCTAAGGTGGAAGGTAGCCAGTGGCACTCTTCACCGAAAGAGGGAATTAGGGAGGAGGAGCAAGTCAGGCGAGGGGAAGACAGTGCGTCCTCTTTAGGAGTCAACCAGCTGGGTGCCCACCCCTCGGCACCCTGTACTTAGGTCTCCTTTGCTCTCCCTGCCTCCATCTCACCTGGTCTCCCCGCGGCCATCTCCACTCGTTGAGGTTCCATCCATTCTCCAGGGCATCTCCATAGCTCTCCCTGCTGGAGGCCCGGCTCCCTCCATTGGTAGTGGCCTCTGCTGCCCAGGGCACCAAGCCTGGGCTCCCTGCCCTGACCTTCTGTGCTGAAGCTCTGTCAAGACTCACCGCACCTCCCTTCCTAGACGGCAAGCTTTTTGGGGACTGGGTCCCTGATTTGATCCTCATACCCTACATGAGCAGCTAGCACAGTAGACACTCGACAAATATTTGCAAAATGAACAAAAATAAACTTTTTTTTTTTTTTACCATGAAGGAAAAGCAGCAGACATTGGATCCACTTGAAAGCCACAGGATCACATTGAAATTCAAACCGTAGGTGCTTTGCGACGAAGCCAATTCAATTTGATGCTCAGAGGGCCCTTTCTCTCCCTCTGCCACACAAAGCTCCAAAAGTGCAGGGAGAGAAAAAGTCATGACCCCTTGCCCCAGTTTTTAAAAATTGTGCTTCTCCGAAATAATTTTATGCCAGGTGCCTTATCTCTCTTACTTACCGTTTGCCTTTGATGATGAGGAGGAAGAAGGAGGAGGGGGAAGAGGAGCATTTATGAAGTGCCAGTGTATACCAGGCACTCTCCTAGCTCTCTTTATGCACTAACTCACTCCCTGCAACCCCATGAACATAGGTATATGCGGTTATCACCCCAAGAGTTCAGGTGAAGGGCTGGAGAGAGCTTCTGTGCTGCAGCATCAATGCCACCAGCTGGTTAGGTGTGGCATTGGGATTCAGACCCAGAGGATGCCTCCAGAGTCTGGGCTCCAATGTGCTCTCCTAAGGCCAGCAGAGTGCTCGCAGCAAGGAGGTGCTCACTTGATGAGTGGGAGGAACCCCTCATCTGTACTAAAGGGACCAGCACCTTCTAGTCCTGATTCTACCACTGATTTCCAATGCACCCTTGAGCACATGTGTGGTTTTTTCCACATAAAACAAAGGACCTGGTGGGGCGCAGTGGCACACATCTGTAATACTAGCCTCTGAGGCAGGAGGATCGCTAGTTCAAAGCCAGCCTCAGCAAAAGTGAGGTGCTAAGCAACTCAGTGAGACCCTGTTTCTAAATAAATACAAAATAGGACTGGGGATGTGGCTCAGTGGTCGAGTGCCCCTGAGTTCAACCCCCAGTACCCATCCCCAGAAAAAAAGGGGGGTGGCTGGATATTGATAACTGGCCACAATAAGAGCTAGTATTCTCAATTCTGTTCTTTCTCAAGGTTTTAAGTAATTAAGTCCCAACAACAATTTAAAAAATTGAAGCACAGAGAGATGAAGTCATCGGTTCAAACCTGGAAAGCGAGGGCGCCAGGATTCAAACACGTCGCCCTCCCAAACTATACTCCCGATCCAAGTGGTTCTAAGGAGATGTCTCCAGGACCACAGGGAACAGGTTGGGGTAGAGATGAGATAGAAATACTTTGGGGGTCTCTATGCCCATGAACATCAGAACAGCTCAACTTGCCTCTATTTGTAGAATGAGCTCCTACTTTGTATTTCCTTTGAAGAAAAGTTGTGCTGCTAAAACAAAAAAGTTGGAAGTTGCTGGACCAAATAATTCTGGGATTTAATGAGACTCCCAGGTGTAAGCAGGACTGTTTCTGGCAATCATAGTTCATTTTGGCTGCAATAGATGGAATCAAGGTTCCTCCTGGGAAGGATCCCAGCTTAGAAAAGGGCAGGGTGGTAGAGCTCAGGAGTCCACTCCCACCTACCTGTTCCACTCGGATCTCAATCTCTCCATTCAGCCTCTTGCCATGGAAATACTTGGACCTGCAAGGAGAGGAAGAAGTCGACTGAGTAAGGATGCAGACTGCTCTACTGCTTCCTCCCAAAGGCCTTACCCAAGAAGTGCCCGCGCCTTCCCTCTCACCGCCCCTCTTGACTGATGACTGCCCCATCATTTAGAGGCAATGTGTGGTGGATGGAAAGAGAACAGGTGGAAGATGGAAGACTCAGAATTCTGGTGCTGTCAAACCACTTGACCTCCCTAGGTCTCAGTTTTATCCTTTGCAGAAGAAAGCTGTTAATTGATTGGGTTATTTGGTGTTTGTTTGTTTTTTTTTCATAATAGCTAAACTATGGAACCAATCTACATGCCCTTCAACGACAAATGGATGAAGACATTGTGGTATATATACACACAATGGAATATTACTCAGCCTTAAAGAAGAATGACTTTATGACTTTTGCTGGCAAATGAATGGATCTGGAAAACCAAAGGCTGAATGTTCTCTCTGACATGCAGATGCTAACACACAGTGAGGGGGTGGAGGAAGAATAGAAGTTCACTGGATTAGACAAAGGGGAATGAAGGAAATGGGAGATGAGAGTAGGTAAGACAGCAGACTCAATCAGACATAACTTTCCTATGTTAATTATGAATACACCACTGGTGAATGAAACATGTACAATCACAAGAATAGGATCCTGATTAGAATGAGTTATACTCCATGTTTAATATGTCAAAATACACTCTATTGTCAGTATATCTAAAAACAACATATAAAGACCTCCCCCCAAAAAAGATATTAATAGGTGTGCAACATATTTCTAAGGTTTATCTTAAAAATTAAATGAGATAATATTTACAGACACAGGGTTCAAGCTTGTAGATTAGAAGAAGGCTGCATTTCTAGCTGCTCCATGGCTCGGGATTCAAGTAATGGAAGTTGTGCTTCTCAGTGAGGTAAGTGAAAGTGAGAATTCACTGAAATTCAACTCTGGGCAGTCAGAGTGTCTTAGAGACTCGGAAATCCTAGTGCTTTCAATAAAGAACAAGAAAGAGCACCTTGGAGCCCATCCAGCTGTGGCAGAGGTGGCAGCAGTGGTGCCGGTCACCATCGCGGGGAAGGATAACGCACAGAGAGAACACACCGGGCAGGTGCCGCACGGACAAACCCACAGACCAGAAAGGCCCACAGACTAGCAGCCTGCACTTAGCTGATCCAAGGGCTGGAGAGTGAACCTGTGTTTGGAAAATGCTGTGTGTTTCTCAACTGGCAAGTGCAGAGCTGAGCTGGGGGCCCATCTGAGGAGGCCTCGCTGCAGCTGTTGCAGGAGGTCACAGCAAGCCCTGCCATACTGTCCCGGCTGGTGCCTACCCTGTGGCCTGGGGTGTACAGAGCATAAAGTGAGTGAAACAGGCACAGAGGAGATCACATCCAGGGGCTCAATCAGAAAAACAAAAGGGAGCACAGCTTTGCCTTTGAGTCTGGTGGCTCATGGACCAGATGAAGGGGGCCAGGGAACGGATGAGGCGGGTGTGAACATACTCAGGGACTCATCCTGGGAAGGTTGTCTTCATGGGCAGCAGAATGTGGAGAATGGCCTCCCTTACCCTGGGAACAGAACTCTTCGGAGGCTCCTGAGATCCAGACTCCCAGCCAAGGCTGGCCCCACGGGTGTGTGGATCTAATCTCTCTGGAGCAGGTACCACGCAGTGAAGTTCCAAGTCCCCCCCCCTCCCCCGAATTCCCCTCAGAGAACCGTGCCACAGCCCCACCCCGAGCGCATCCCTCTGGTCTGTGTGAACCATGCCAATCCACGGCTCTTCCCACTTCGTCCTACCTTACACTGATAAGAAGGGAAGATAAGAGCTATTTCAATGGGCTTCTTTTAGGCCACTTGAGCTGGCAGCTCAGTGAGCAACAACAACACAAAAGAAAAGAAATAAAGGAAGAGGTCAACAATCTCCAGTCCTCCCACCCCACCCCCTTAACAGTCCAAGAAGAAATGCAAAGAAGGACAGCTGGGCCTAGGAAGTGACCACTTATTCTTAGTGACTGTTTAGACCACCTCAGTGAAGACGACTCTTCTATTTTTCATTAAGAATCTTTCCTTTCTTTTTCTTTTTATTTTTTGTTGGTGTTTTTGATGTGTGGATAGCTTCATGGACATATGCATATGTATACTCTCATGCTTCTTTGTTTCCTCATTTTTTACCATATTTTATGGTGCATTTCCTTGCAATGTCTTTTGAGAGTTAGGATTTTGGTTGTCTTATTTTTGTGTTGGTTTGTGTCTGAATGATTCTCTTCTCTCCTTTTTTTCTCCCACAAAAATAGCCACATTCCTCTCATTCTCTCTTGCTTTACTTTGTTTTCTTATTTTTCTCCTCCATCATGTGCAGCAACTCCTCTGCATTCTCTCTGTCCACATTTTGAGCATGCTGAGCTTTCTTCTACCTCCTTATCATATTATTGTTATTTTCTACTAATGAACTATATTTCTACCATCTTTTAGAACTCTTTGGTTTCACTGTCTTTTAGAACGACAGCTCCTGCCCCCTCCATTAATGTTGATGCAATTATCAGTGCTGTGGGTGACACAGCTGACACCTGCTGTTTACTTTAATGTCACATCCAGTTCATGGTTATTTATTGTTTTTGCTGTCAGCAATTGCTGACCCAGCCATTCCTGTTTTTGTGGTGATTCGTGTTATGCATGTCTTACTAGGCACCAGGTATTTATTTCAATGCTGTATACTGTTGGCTTCAGTTGTTGCTATTATTGGTTTTCTACTTTTCTAAGAGGAATCTACAGGCACACTACAAGCTCACAGGGTAGACACCTTGACTGAACTGATCCCAGCCAAAAGACAGCACACCTCCCTCCATACATAAATTAACCACCTGAAACTTCAGCTGGACTTTAATACAAAGAATAGAAGAGACAAAAATCCAAACTAATAACCTGGCCCCAAGTAGGAACAGTTAGAGATGGTCCCTCGGGTGAATATGGACATTCACTCCTACAACAAAAAGAGAGACAATTAAGACAAAGGCCGTGGATACCATACCTACAAGGGGCTTACTCTAGATCATTCTAGGTTACTCTGGCAAATGAAGGTCGTGCCCTAAAAAGTCCTACATGTAAGAGGAGAAGAAAAATCTCTTCCAACAGACACATGAAACCCAACATAGGAATCCAAGAAATATGAAAAAATAAGGGAACAGAATGCTTTCTAAAGTTCATAATTCACCAGCAACTAACTCCAAAGATACTGAAATGGATAAAAAATAATAAATTCAAAAGAATGATTATAAAAATGATCAATGAAATTCAAGAGGAAACAGAAAAACAACTGAACAGATGAAGGAAGTCAGTACTGGAAACAAATGAAAAATTCAATAAGGAGACAGATTATATTTGAAAAAGAAGCAAACTTCTTGGAAATGAAAGACCCAATAAATCCAATAAAATGTTCAGTTAAAAGTCACTCTAACAGAGCAGACCCCGCTGAAGACAGTTTCTCAGAGATGGAAGACAAAGTGGCCAACACCGAACATTTGGACAGTATTAATATATCCTTGAAGAGAATATATAAGAACTCTTGGAAAACTTTAAGGGACCAAATTTAAGGATCATTGAAATTGAAGATGGTTGTGAGATGCAGACTCATGGAATGGATAACCTCTTTAGGAAAATAATAACAGAATGATTTCCAAATCTTGAGAATGAGATGAATATCCAGACGCAGAACACATTCAAAATCCCAAATAGACAAGATTGAACAAGAATCTCTTCATGACACATTATAATTAAAATGCCTAACATAGGGAACAAGGATAGAATTTTAAAAGGCTTAAGAGAAAAATATCAGGCCACATTTAGTGGCAAGCCAATCAGAATTGCTTTTGATTTCTCAGCATAAACTGTAAAAGCCAGGAGAGCTTGAAATGATGTGTTCTAAGCTCTGAAAGAAAATAACTGTCAACTAAGATTGCTACATTCAGCAAATTTTTCCTTCAGTGTTAAAGAAGAAATAAACTCCCCCAAGATAAGTAAAAACTAAAAAAAAATCATGATTACTAAGCTATAATAGTCACTATAGAAAAGATTTAAAGAAATATTCCACACAGAGGAAATTAAAAACAGATCCCAGAGCTCACAGATGAACAATCTCATTTGAAGAGCAGCCAAGCAAATGAGAAACAGGACCAAATCAAACATTAAAAATAAAGCAAAATGGTGGGAATGAATAAACTTCTCTATAAAAAACATTAAATGTAAGTGCTCTCAACTCTCCAATTAAAAGACATAGACTGACAAAATGAAATTTTAAAAAAGATGCAACTATATGTTGTTTGCAAGATACTCATCTTACCGGCCACAGGCTATAAGTGAAAGGATGGAAATTAATATACAATATAAATGGAGACCCCATAGCTACTCATGCTTGTATCAGACAAAGCAGAGCTCAAAGCAAAATTAATCAGAAGAGACATAAAAGGGTATTTCATACTAGTAAAGGGAATAATCCAACAATAAAATATAATTACAGTAAATATTTATGCCCCAGATGTTAGTGTATCTAATTACATGAAACAGACACTACTTGAATTAAAAACTCAGACTGCAGTACAATAATACTGGCTGATTTCAACATACCTCTCTCACTAATATAGGTCTACAGACATAAACTCATTAAAAACTCTTTGAACCTGAAAATATTGTAAATCCAATGTACTTAGCAGACATATCTTAAATATTTTATCCAACAACAGCTTAAATACACATTGTATTCTTCTTAAGCAGCTTATGGAACCTTCTCCAAAACAGACCACATTATAAACCACAAAGAAATTCTTAGCAAATACAAAAAAAAAGTTGATATAATTCCTTGCATTTTATCAGATCATAATGGAAAAAAATATTAGAAATCACAACAAAACCAAAAACAAAACACCAAATTCTACAGAAATTAGCACATTAAGATTGAACAATGTACTTTTGAATGATGAATGAGTATAGAAGAAACCAGGAGAGAA